CTGAGCCCCCCAGGTGCCCCAGAGTTCATCCTTCTTAACACCCTCTGCTAGCTTGGGGTGGAGCAGCTGCTGACTCCCTCACCCAGCAGTAGCGTCAGGCACAGCCCAGGCCCTGGTGCCTGGTCCCCCAGCACCGCTCCCCGACTCGCTGAGGCAGTATCCATTCTGGGCTCTTCAGTCCGTTTCTTGCCGCTCTCCTCCTTTCTCCCCCATCATATAGAAGGCCGCTGATCACATCCTCTGAATTTTAGCTGAGCATCTCCTGTGTGCAGGCCTGTGTCACTGGGTGGCCCAGGACCAGACTCTGAGCTGGCTTCAGGCCGCCCTGCTCCTGGAATCCCTCCACCGGGGTGTCAGGTAGGGTGCACCTGCTCCTCGGCTGCCCACCGTGGAATATGGGAACCCCGAAAGTCCAGAGAGGAGCACGCCAAAGGGCTCGTGGCGGGAGACCTCATTCTGTGGGGACTTACATGCACTCATGCCTGCCCTCCCCCGCGAATACTGTTTGACCAGGTACACCCAGGCCTGTCAACCAGCCTCACCTTGTTACTCTCTCCACCAAGACTTGTGTTTGCAAGTCTGGACAAATGTCCACAGTGATGGGCATTTGCTCAAAGGGCAGGGTGGGCAAGGCATTCCTTCAGCAGTCAACCCCCAAGTCATTTCTGCACAAATCTGGTAACAACCTCATCCCGGTACACAGAACAGAAGAGAGAGGGCGATAGTTTGCAATATGTTGCTTTATATGACTCAGAGCAACGTGATGCACATAACAAATAGCAGCAGAAGGACTGAGTTCCAACAGTCCCCCAACAGGGTACTTCTGCAAATTTCTAGTGATAAGCTGGCATATTAAGGGAGAAGGCCCATTTCGCATGGGCAGCCTCTCCCACGTAGGCTCACCTGGACTGGAGGAGACCCAGCAGAGTGAGGGGGGAAGCACTCCAGGCATTTCCCAGTGCTGCATTAAATGTATCCCTGTATCTAATATTTTAAATACTTTGTCTCCACCCACTATTTGCAAACAGCTCCATGCTCAGAAGCACCAGTGTTTATTTCAAGTAAACACAATAGACTAATATTAATTCCAAGGATCACAAAGCAGCAAAGGGGACGGAAATGAGTCTCAGGCTGACGTCACTGAGAGAATGGCATTTTGAGGTGGTTCCTGTGGGTTCCTTTGGGTGGTGCTTCTGCTCTGGTGGATCGAGTGCTCTTGCAAACGTTTATCAGAGAAATCCTTGTTTGGTTTGGGGATCTGACCCTGGGTAGAGGCCCGGGGGCCCGGCTGCGCTCGTTCAAGGAGCTTCTCACTTTAGACGCTCCCGGTGGGAAGCTCAGTGCTCCTGGCACAGCCGGCCCTGCGTGTGCAGTGGGGTGCCCTGGCCGGCAGAACAAGGTGGTGCTTGGCAGAGGGGCAGCAGGGTCCATGGTGCTGTGGGGACTCATGGGGAGGGACTGGGGACGAGGACCATGGCCTCTGCTCAGCCTCTGCACACCTGCCCACCCTTCCCTCCCTCGCGTCCCCGGGTGCTGCCCAGCATGGGCATCATCGGGCATTGGCTTCACAGGGCAGCAGCTACGGCAAAGTCAGAGCCCTTGGCCGGAACACGCCTCCCTGTTGTGCAGCCGAGTGACCTGAGGCCAGCGAGGTTAAAGGCTTGGCAGAGGTGACACGTAGAGTTGCAGCTGCGAGGTCTATGAAAACTTCCGTGCCCCACGTTCGAGCAGGCGTTGGGGAAGAGCAGGTCTGCATCCCTGGCGTGGCACCAGCTTGGACTGCTGACCCTCTCTGATCTGCTCTGCAAACAGGTTTTCCTTCTGTCGCAGATTCCTGTGAGCCCGAGAGGTAACGGGCCGGGTGCCTGGGCCAGGCTGGGTGGGGGGGGGGCGTGCGGTGTAGACCTCGGCGACAGCGAGGCCGGCACTCGGGCGTGCTTCCCGTGTCCGAGGCACGTTCCCAGGGTCAGGCGCGGCCCTTGCTGGCTGGGGGGTGACGCACGGCATCTCTTGCTGGCTCTGCGGGTTTGGGGGCAGACGAGCTACATTCTTCTCCATGACTCGGGTGAGTGAGGAACCAGGAAGGCCTGCAGCATCTTTAGAGAAAACTCTTGGCACCTGAGGGAGGAGTAGGTCTAGGGGATCCATCTGCCTGGGAATTCTCAGATGTTTAGATTGGATCAGAAATGTCACAAAACCCACACATAACCCTGAAGTCCTGTTAAGACCTATTACCAGTGCCCTTTTGGTGGCAGGTGAAGCCTATTCATGGTAAGAAGGACCCACTCTTGGTAGAGAAGACGGTTGTGCTCAGTGTCATGACTCAGTCACGGCTGTGAGTCTGTCACCCACCACGTGTGTGGGGTGCTGGCAGAAACACCCCACACACCCTCGAAGAGCCAGCCGCACTCGGGAAGCTACGAATGTCCCATAAGGTAGTCAGCGGGCTAGATACCACGTGTTCCTGCAGCTGCCGAAGATCTCGGGGAGGGGTCTGCTGCGCTCTGAGTGTGGATGGTGGGCTCAGACCAAGAGGGACTCCGAGAGGCGGTAGAGCTGGGCACACAGGCGGCAGGAAAACCGATTTGTGTGAGGGCACAGACAACCATCGCTCCAGGGGGCAGACGTTCCAGCAGGAATGGAAGGGGAGCGGTCTGGCTGGGCGGCTTCAGACAGGCCTGGAGGGCCAGCCTGGGCCCTTAGACTCGGTGGAGGGTGGGCGGGTCTGGAGGGTGCCCCTGGGGACGTGCCGGGCCAGGACGTGAGCGAGGCTCCAACCAGGGGCAGTGGGAACCCAGAGGGAGGATGAACATGGTGGCATTTTCAGGGAGTTTCAGCCGCGTTTATGACCATGTGGACATTTCTGGTACAAAGACGTCGAAGAGAAAGCCGCGGGTGGGTCGTGCCTGCCTCCCGGAGCTGCGGATGCAGTGCCAGGGGCTGACTGGAGGAGGCGTCCTCGGGCCTGAGGTGCAGCTGAGGCTTCTGCAGGAGGTACCCTACAGCAGGGGTGGCAGCCGCGGCCAAGGACTGTCCATCTGCAGGGCCAAGTAAGCCAGGCGTTCCCGTGAGGACCAGACCAGAGCGGGGACCGCGGTGTCCTGTCTGAACGCACAGGGAGTCCAGAGGCTCAGAGCGGGCCTGGCCGGGGTCACAGGAGGGTCAGGAGTGGCTGCTTCTGCATGGACAAGCGCGGGAAGGTGGGGAGCAAGAGATGAGATGTGGAGGGATGGCGGGTTTTCATAGGGCAGTTCGCTCCTGGCTGTGGTTCTACTAGTTTTGAGGCGGCCCTTACAGTCTTCACGTGGCTCTTGTTGAGCATGGCCTCGTCACTCACTCAGACCCTTGGGTACTTTTCTTGGCGTCCTTCTCACTATCAGCACTTTTAAAAACGACCCTGGCAAACGCTGCGAAGGTGATGGACTAGGTGGGAGGACTGTCAGCTGGGGGTAGGGCCAGGTTAGAACCGCGGGAAGCTGGCATCCTGCAGGGGAAGGGGGCAGCTTGAGGGCTGGCGGGCGGGCATCCCCTATGGCTTACCAGCTGGGCTTCCCTGGAGGGGACTGTTGAGGGCCCTGGCGTCCTGGGTTTCCCCAGCACTGGAATGTAGCAGGTGCACATGATAGGAGGTGTCCCTGCACACACAGGAGGGTCTAACAGGTGACACAAGGGGTGGTTTTGCTCTTGGTGGTGTTAGTCTGGCAGTTGAATCCATCATATCGGTAAGATTCTGGACCGAGGGAGGGCAGTGGGATGCAGAGCCTGTCACAGATAATGGTAGGAGCCCCCAGTGATCACCAGGAAGGACAGCTCTCCTGCCAGGTGCACCTCTGGGACCTGCGAGGCATAGCAGCGTCTGTGCTGGGGTGGGGGGAGAACACACCCCTCCCTGCAAGCTGCATGGTGCCCTGCGCACTCGGTGGTACCAGCTCCGGACTCTGCCCTCGCATTTGCAAGAGGGAGAGCGGAAAAAGAAATGGGGGGATTGCTCTTTCTAAGGGGAGTCCAGGCTACTCGAGCCAGGAGCCTGGGGACCTAGAAGAGAAGTCCTCCCCTCCCCCCTTCTC